TTTGTGCCTCACAAATCTGCTAGCCTTACTGAAGTCCAGATAGCAGACTTCGACTCTCCACCTCTTGTCCAGCCGCTCAGTCACGGCATCCAGGAAGGCTAGCAGATTTGTGAGGCACAAACGACCTTCACGAAACCTGTGCTGAGCCTCCGCCAGCAGGCCACATTGGGTGAGGTACCTGACCATCTTATCCCTGATTAATCATCCCATGACCTTTAGGATCACGGGGAGTAAGCTAACGGGCCTATAGTTAGTGGCCAGCTCCCTCTCACCCCCTTTGTGGATTGGGGCCACATTAGCTACTTTCCAGTCCTGCGGCAATGTGGCTGTTGCCATGGACAAATTGAATAGGTGGGCTAACGGGGCAGCCAGGATACTCCCTAGAGGCCCAAGCAGTGCCGGGTGCATTTCATCCGGTCCCGCCGCTTTTCCCCTACCTAAACTCACCAGGGTCTTTTCCATCTCCCCCGGTAGGACAGCACTTTGCTCCATCAGCGTGGATCCTACTGGCTGGTGAATCGGTCGCAGAATGCCCTCATCCTTCGCGTGTACACTCTGGAAGTGCTCACACAAGGCGATGGCCTTCTGGGAGTTTGTTGTGGCGAGGGTGTTGTCCTTTTGCCTGATACAGCCGACTGCTTCTCGTTTAGTCGACCTAGACTGGACATACCCGTAGTAGGCCTTAGGGTAGCGGTTGGCTTTCTTGGCCATGGAAATCTCGAAAGCTCTTTTGGTATCCAGGAGGATGCGGTCGAAAGACTTTCGCTCACGTCGGTTCTGATCAGGTCACAGGACTTGTGGCTCGAGNCGAGCCAATATGTGTCCAGGTTCTTGCACCCCGAGCTCCGTGTTCTCGTGGTGCTTTGACTGCCAAGCGTTCCCTTGACCCAGCTTATCTGCAGTGGCTGGATGCGGTTACGATTCTTTCCGTTTACCAATATTCAATGCTGGAATTTAGAAATGTTTTGGGAAAACGGCCTAGTGTGGAGTCGGTCTAGTCTACAAAAGCGTGAGTTACATTTATGGTCAAAGTAATGAGACAGTGACAATGGATAAGGTACTAAGAATGAATAAAGAGAGCAAATACTTTAGGAGGTATCAGCATTTCTTCGAGGTGTATGTATCGCAGAAATCCGTCTCTAACAAGCTGTCGCAGCTCACCCACTCACCCCAATGACGGTTAGTCATCATCTTGCGTTCACACTTCGGATCAGTCTGAGTTCGGCCGTGCGTACACAAGCAAAACCAGGCAATCTTACATGATACATCAGCCTCTTATGGTACCAAAACGAAATAAGACAGACTACAGTTGACAAAATGTTGAAAATCGGTTCTCGTAGTTCAGGTGAACTGAATTCCATTTCACCTGTTCGCCGAGCTTGGCAATTTGTTTGCAAATGTTTTATCACCAGCCGAGGTGACATCATCAGTGCTTGTGAAGTGGCCAGACTAGCGTCCCTTAGCCTACTCCTGATTGCCCACACCTGTAATTGCGTGTCACCTTCTTTATACCACCCAACATGCTTGCACCTACATCCACGAACACGTTCAATCATACTCAACACACACACATCTATCATCCTTACATGCATGCAGTCTTGTGCATATCTTCTTGTACACCGGTTTACATCCTTACTGGTCCCAGGAATATACTAACTGTGCTACTATACGTAAGTACTGTAGGTGTCTATGATAACCACCTGTGGCACAGAGTCTCTGCCACGCCACCATTTTTCTAATTAGGCATTTTTCATTCGACTGGACCACCACGGTGGGGTGGTCCTCGACCTAACGGGATACATGGGTGCAAAAATATTGATGAGAGTCAAAAGGTTATTCCCATGAGTCTACAACCTCATAGTTTGCCTCTCACCAGACCATGGTCTGTGCCGCAGCCTGTAGATATTCGGTATTCATGCGCCCATAGCTTCGGCGCAATTTGACTGGAGAGGAGGAAGGAGCACAGCCGTATTGGCGTGGTCACTTCTACCTAGCGGTGCGCCCATAGCAGTGTTCCAGATGTCATTCCTGCTCTGAGTAAACACGAAATCTAAGGTGATGGGAGAGGTACCCAGTCGCCATCGGGTGGGATCGGTGACGTGCTAGGTGAGCACCAATTCGTGCATCATCTCTAGTAGCTCATCCCCAAAGCTGCCAACTGGCACATACTCCATCTCTCATTCGATCTCAGAAGCATTGAAATCCCCTAGGACAAAAACCCTACTTGCCCGAGTTGTTGTGTGCCGGAGAAAAACTATCAGCAACTCATTTTCGTCGATGCCTGCGCTTGGGCTAAACACAGGACTGCCAATCTTACTCCCGTGAGCTTGATTACGCACCCAGCATCTGAATGTTCTCCGTGCACATGGTATCCACTGCCGTCTGAGGAAAGTGGTCCGACACAAACATTAGAACACTACCCCTAGACCATCCCCTGGACGATCGCAGCGATAAGCCTGGAATCTCGATGGACAGAATCCCGCGGTACAAAATTCAGACCAGAGCCAGATCTCCGTTATGGCGAGGAAGTGCGTTTGGTCAGCCTCAGCCCGGACCTCGGCCCACTTGTTCATTAGGCTGCAGGCGTTAGTGTTGTAAACACTGAGAGCCTGCGCCCTTTTACTTCCTATTGCTTTTGAGGGGTTGAACCCGGGAGTTGATCCCGGATAACCTCCAAATTTTTACCTCTGGTTCAGCAGTGGAGTTTCCCTGTGGGTCCTCGCCATATCTTGGTCTTCGCGCCCTAGAGATTCATCCATCGAAACAGACCTGGAAGGAGGGGTCGTTTTNGCGGATTCTCTTGCTCCACTCTCGGCACGCTGACGGTCAGGAGCTTGGTGCTCAATTGCTGCCTGCAGCTAGGTGATGTCGTTATGTTCTGGTCGCGAGGGTAGTCTGGCCCTATGGTTACCTGCTCTTCGGTCAGCTTCCTCACAGTGGTGGAAGCTGCTAGCATCAAGTTCCGGTACCTCGGGTCATAAAGCTCCAAAAGGGTTGGTCTGGGTGGTAAGGCACCAGGTGCCCGTTGATTGCCCTGCTACTTCTCAAGGCGAAACACTCGCTTGATTTGCATCTCTGAGGGGATCTGAGCGAGCCGGATTATGTTTATAACTTGATGTAGGAGCGCTTGTCTTCGGCTGCGAGTTTCTCAAAGAAACGCCTCTGGGATGCCCCCCGATAACGACATTTCTGTTTCTCCCTAGAGCTGTGTTGGTATGGGCCT